AGGTTTCACCATGTTTGCCAGGCTGATCTTGAACTCCTGACCTCAGGTGATCCACCTATCTCTGCCTCCCAAAGTGCTGGGATTACAGGAGTGAGCCACCACGCCCAGCCAATGATGATTTTTAAATGAAGTTCTCCTGAGCTTCACGTCCATCTAACTTTGTGGTTCTTCAGATACCACAGAGACAATATGCCCAAGTCTAAAATCTACACTGCCTATCATATTCCCTCTGATGGTAAACCACAGCACTGTCTACCCAAGAGCCATCTTTTTCTTCTTTTCTGTTCTTGTATTTGTACAGTAGACATTTATTGGGCAATATAAAAAATACCAAAAAAGATGCAGAGAAAATGAGATACATTGTCCCTGTCTAGAAAGTGCTGCCATCAATCATGGAGCATATGTTCAAACAGCTCCTACCATAAGATAAAATATAATGCATTGCTGACCATTATGGCATTTCTAAATCAGTTACCAATATCTAGTCCTTCTTATGTCCTATTTCCTGCAAATGCATACATCTTAAGTAAACTAATTTGGATGTATTTCCATGCATTCCAAAGGAAGAGTTTATTAGAGTTTATATACTGCCATTACTAAAGTTTCCTTTTGTTTACCTGTATTCTTTCTTCTTTATTTTAGGATAGTAGTGGTACATGGTACTGTATCAGCCTTATTATCAGACCTTCATCTTCAGCACGTTCCCTGCTTTACCTCTTCATGACTCACCAAGTCCTTTTAATTTGGTTCTTTCTCCTTAGTATCTCTTGTATTTAATCCTTTCTAAGCATCATTAATACCATTCTTTGTGAACATATTTAACCAAGTTCTTTCTCTGTCTTCATTGTAGACCCATCTATGCAGTGCCAGTCTACACTGCTGCCAGAGGCAATTTCTAAAACCCAGATCAACTTTTGTCGTTTTTCTTGTTGAAATAATTCAGTAGTTCCCCACGATGTTCAGAAGCTGAACTAGGCCCTGTGTGATCTGACTCTTACCTACTCCTCCAGCCTTATTTGCTTTCCTGCCTCCCTTTCTCCTCACCATCTGTAAAGAGTGTGAACTCAGCTAGGTGCGGTGATCATGCCTGTAATCCCAGCAATTTGGGAGTCCGAGGCAGGCAGATCTCTTGAAGTTGGGAGTTCAAGACCAGCCTGATCAACATGGAGAAACCCCATCTCTACTAAAAATATAAAAATGAGCTGGCCTTGGTGGTACATGCCTGTAATCCCAGCTAGTCAGGAGGCTGAGGCAGGAGAATCACTTGAACCCAGAAGGCGGAGGTTGCAGTGAGCTGAGATCGTGCCATTGCCCTCTAGCCTGGGCAACAAGGGTGAAACTCCATCTCAAAAAAAAAGAAAAAAATAGTATGAACTCTAGGGTCAAACTGTCTGGGTTCAAATCCTGGGTCTGCCACTTACTAGCTATGTAACTTTGGAAAAGTCACTTCGGTCCTCTGTGCCTCCGTTTTCTTATCTGTAAAATGGGGGAAGTAGTTGTCCCTATTTAATATAGTTATTGGGAAGTGTCAGTGAGTTAATATGTGTTAACTGCTTACAACAGGGCCTGGCCCATAGCAAATAATTAATACGGACATTTGTCAATTTATGATGGGGTTACATCCCAATACACTCAATACAAGTTGAAAATATAAGTCAAAAATGCATTTAGGCCTGGTGCAGTGACTCATCCCTGTAATTCCAGCATTTCAGGAGGCCAAGGCAGGAGGATTGTTTGAGCCCAGAAGTTTGAGACCAGCCTGAGCAACGTAGGGAGACCCTATTTCTACAAAAATAACAAAATTAGCTGGATGTGGTGGGGTATGCTTATAGTCTAAGCTACTTGGGGTACTGAGGCAGGAGGACCGCTTGAGCCTGGGAGGTCAAGGCTGCGGTGAGCTGTGATCACGCCACTGCATTCCGGCCTAGGCAACAGAATGCAGACCCTCTCTCTCAAAAAAAAATGCGTTTAATACACTTAACCTTCAGAGCATGATAGCCTACCTCCCTATCCTACCTTAAAGGTGCTCAGAACACTTACATTAGCCGACAGCTGGGCAAAATCACCTGGCAGCAAGGAACACTGTCGAGCCTCAGTTGTCTACCTTCATGATGGTGTGGCCAACTGGGACATGTGGTTTTCTGTGGCTTCCCAGCATTGTGAGAGAGGATCCCACTGTATGTCATTAGCCTGGAAAAAGGTCAGAATTCAAAATTCAAAGCAAAATTATTACTGAATGTGTATCACTTTTACACTGTCATAAAGTCAAACCTTCATAAGTCTGGGACCATCAGTGTATATTTGTGTGTGTGTGTTTCTGTTATTGTTATTCATTTATTGGCTTTGCTCCTTTCTTTTTGCATATGCTGTTTCATGTGCCTGGAATCATCCACTTCTTTTCACCTGGCTGACCACACTCATCTTTTGAACTTCAGTTTAGGTATCAGCCCCTTGAGGGAGCCTTCACTCCCCCTTCCCATTCCAGGCTGGATTAGTTGCATCACCTATGTGCTCCTGTAGCACCGGTGCACACCCACATCTTAACATTCATTACACCAGATAAGGGATATTAACGTCGTGATTTTGAACACTGTAAGTGACCTAAAGGTCCAAGAGGTTGAATAATTTGTAATAACACAAGATGATTATCTTATGATTGTATGAATATATGATTATTGTATTCATCCATTCTCAGGCTGCTGATAAAGACATACCCTAGACTGGGTAATTTATAAAGGAAAGAGGTTTAAGTGACTCACAGTTCAGCATGGCTGAGGAGGCCTCAGGAAACTTAGAATTATGGTGGATGGGGAAGTAAACATGTCTTTCTTCACATGGTGGTAGCAAGGAGAAGTGCCGAGCAAAAGGGGGAAAAGCCCCTTATAAAACCATCAGATCTTGTGAGAACTCACTCACTATCATGAGAACAGCATGAGGGTAACTACCCCCATGATTCAATTACCTACTACCAGGTACCTCCCACAACTCATGGGGATTATGGGAACTAAAATTCAACGTGAGATTTGGGTGGGGACACAGCCAAACCATATCAATTATATTATTTTATAGATGAATGTATCAAATAATCTTGATTTTTAGTATTAAATAGGCAAGATATGAGTTTGGGGAATCACATTATCTCAAGATGTATCTATCCCAAAAGTAAAAGGTTCTACTACACTTCAATTTTGTATTTATTTGTATGCTTCCAGTATTAAATTCTGGCATCCTGAATGGAGTGAGAACTGTTTTATCTCTATCCCTAGTGCCTTACATCTACCAGAGATTCAGTTAATATTTATTGAAAAGAGAATTTTTTTTTTTTTTCAAAAATCTGGCTTTGCCCCTGAGCCAGGGTTTGAGGTGCTGACCTCTTCCTAGGAAAATATATGCATGGCTCATTTCAGAAGGTGAAAGGTACACATCTTGCCTTAGAAGATGGCTTCCTGTTTAATCAAAGAGAAGAGGAGAATGAAGTGTTTCTTTCAGTACTAAATATGACCAATTTAATAAAAGGGCTCAATTGGAATTCAACTCCTTTTAGATAGTTACGACCCCATTCTATCTGCCCAACGACTTCTTGGAGAAGGTGATATGATTCATGCATTTTAGACAGAGGCAAATTTGGATCCTAATTTAGGAAAATGAAGGGAAGTCAGTCATATTTTTAGGTGTTTTGGGTGCCTGATTTGGGCATATAGACAAGCCTCCTGCCCAGATAGCTGACACATGCCTCCTACCTTCTCCACTAGCTACAATTCTTCTCATTGGTCCTCTTACTGATGGGGGCATTGAAGACTTTGTCTTCGGTAGATTATCTGAGAGGTCTAACATATTTAGGCACAAATGCCTGAAGGAAAGGTGCACAGACAGCCACGTTGGCTGATGACGGTCAACTGCCCAGGTCAGAGCTTGGCAGAGTAAGTCTAAGTGGAGAACCTTTAGCTTTGGCCTGTTACAGGGACTCAGTTTGCAAACATCATCTCTCTTACAGTTAAGGCAGGCTCTACGATTCCATGAGGAGAGAGAAGATGCTTTGACTGGTAGCTCTTTCAAGATCTCTCTTAAATGCTCTTCTAAAAAGCTAGCTTCTGTGGCTCTCAATGGCACAGATCATGTGCCTACACATGAGTGAGATGTGGCTGGGGTTAAAATCTATATGCATGTTCCCAAGGATTGGAGTGGGGCTGGTGTGGGGGAATGTTGGGGGAAAGCACATGCATCTGTGAGTAGGAAAGTCACCTGCACCCTGCCATCATGAGAATCCCTGGGTGTAATAAGAGGTACGGTTTGTGGCAGTGTGGTGAACACACAAGTGATAAGGAAACTAGGAAAATGGTTGCAGGCTGAAACTTAGATTATGGTCCGTTCATCCTACTTGCAGGCCAGCAATTAGGGTCCAAGGTGTTACAGGATGGGCTTTTTTATATCAGGTGTCTCTCGGGATCATACCCCAAGACCTCTATATTACAAAATGGTTTTTAGTGCATTTTTTTCTAAGGACTAAAAGCCTTTTGATGGATTTCATGACAAACTCTTATGAACAAGAAGAAACATGTGAACAAGGATGAATAACTAGAAGTACTTGTCAAAGTGACATGAAAGTAGCCTGTAATATGGAAAATGTTGAGCAGTCCAATTGTTCTGGAATGATTTAGTACAATTTAGTAATATTTTCTTAGATAGTATACATTTAGCTAAGCCCCTGGAATCAGAGTTGCCTTTCAATGTTTCCAATTTCACCAGAAACAGGATGAAAACATTCAATTAATTTTAGGAGAAAGTATTATATGTTTATAGAAAGCTTAGGAACTGATTTATTGGCCTATTGATTTAAACTGCTCTTATAATTCTGGCATACTCCACATATTAGACAATTCTTTCTAATCCCTACTTTACTGGGTAATTTTTGCATAGGTCAGGAGGTCAGCATGGGCTGTGGCTGGTTCCATATATTTATCAAGTGAAATGACATTTAGTTTTTGTTTTCTTCCTAACAGGGCCTGTGCTCCCTTCACAGACTCATACAAGTGGTTTGTCATGAGAAGGACCACACTATATCATTTTACTCTTACAAGTTTTCATTTATGTTACACACTGAGAAAGTTATGAGAAGTAATCATCACTCTCTGGAGGTGGAGACGACCGTGATCCATAAAGACAAGAGGTAATTTTCCTGTAATCACAGGATGTCTCAGGTTAGTAGTTTTCAGCTCTTCTGCAATTCACATACCATGAGGTGTTTTTAGCAATGTACATCTTCAGTGAACCTAATTCTTCCCAATCCCTATAATTTTAAATGTATGACAATGTGATATAAAGTGAGTTGGAAATTTATTTTTGCACGAGATGGGAAATAGTATTTGAACATAGTTGTACAGGGTAAGTGAAAAGTATAAGAACATATGTAGCATTTTTAGAAAGCAAAATACTTTTGTAGGACTTAAATATATTTTTAAATGAGATTTTTATCACACAAAATTTACAACATCGTTTGTACTTGGAAATGATACATGAATGTTAAGTTTGAAGTATGTATTAAAAAGTAAAATTAACTCATAGGTGGGTGTTGAGCAGTGAGAACACATGGACACAGGGAGGGAAGCATCACACACTGTGGTCTGTTCAGGGGGCTAGGGGAGAGACAGCAGGGGGTGGGGAGGTTGGGTAGGGATAACATGGGGAGAAATGCCAGATACAGGTGACGGAGGATGGAGGCAGCAAACAACCTTGCCATGTAAGTACCTATGCAACAATCCTGCATGATCTGCACATGTACCCCAGAACCTAAAGTACAATGGAAAGAAAGTAAAATTAAAAAGCTATGTATTTTGTAACTAGGCCTTTTTTATAAGTTTTCTTTTAACTGTTCTGACCAACTTGCATTTTTACTTTAGAATTGTAGTTTAAGTATGCCCTTGAAATTTAAAGAAGAAATTTATGCTCTCTCTTTTTAAATTCTGTGTGTTCTGTGGCATTTATCATAAGAGAGCCATTTCTAATATTTATATTTCTTTTTAGTTATGAAAATGTGACCATCATATGCCTAGGTTATATCTATAAAACAGACCTGGCCGGGTGTCGTGGCTCATGCCTGTAATCCCAGCACTTTAGGAGGCCAAGGCGGGTGGATCACCCCAGGAGTTCAAGACCAGCCTGGCCAATATGGTGAAACCCCTCTCTACTAAAAATATAAAAATTAGCTGATTATAGTGGCACTCGCCTATAATCCCAGCTAGGAGGCTGGGGCAGAAGAATCGCTTGAACCCAGGAGGTGGAGGTTGCAGTGAGCCAAGATAGCACCACTGCACTCCAGGCTGGATGACAAGAGCAAGACTCCACCTCAAAAACAACAACAAAAACAACAACAACAAAAACAGACCTCTGGGGCAGCAAATCAGAAAACACAAAATAAAATTGGAAAAGCTTAGTTTTAGTTCTGCTTTCCTCCAAGTGCCCATTGACTCACAGCTGGCTCTTTAGGATTTATGACCATAGAGTCAAGGACCTGCTTTTATGGAGTAAAGTATTGTTGTTTTGCAGAAGGATCTATGAAACAGTTCCTTGATTCATTGGCTCTCCAATTAATTATTGAGTGATGCTCTGTGTTCTGCACTATCCCAGGCTCTATGATGTACAGATCAGCTATAGAAATATAAAAAACGTCTAATTTCCATATCTGCCCTCCAAGAACTTATAATTTAGTTGAGAACATATACAGAGTTGAGAGTTCATGACAGTATCCAGCAAAAGGACCTAAGAGTGATAGAGATAATAAATTTGCTAGGTGTAGAAGTCCTGGGATGGATGATTTTTCTCTGTAGTTATTCATGAATCCTTTATGCAGGAGGAAGAATCTGTGCTAGACTTTGCAGACCAGAAGATTTTGGCAGGAGGAAGTGATAGGAGAGCATTGCAGATGAGAGAGAATAGACCGCTGGCTTCAGCAAAGACCTGAGTAAGGTCCTGAGTAGGTCCCACTTGGGAAAAAGTGAGTTGATTTGTTTGAGTAGAGCTGAGAGTTTGAGGTACTGTAGTTGCAGGATATAAGTCTGGAAAAATGGATTGGTGGAGGTCAGGGAGGATTTCAATGACAGACTGAGGAGTGCAAGTGCTATCCCATAGGCAGTAGAGGTCCCCTGAAGGGTTTTCAAGGAGTGAATATTATCCAATGGGTTGTACAGAAAAATTAACCCTAAGCCAGGCACAGTGGCTCACGCCTGTAATCCCAGCACTTTGGGAGGCCAAGGCAGGGCAATCACAAGCTCAGGAGATTGAGATCATCCTGACGAATATGGTGAAACCCTGTCTCTACTAAAAATACAAAAAATTAGCCTGGCGTGGTGGCATACGCCTGTAGTCTCAGCAATTCGAGAGGCTGAGGCAGGAAAATCACTTCTAAGCTGAGTTCCAAGGCACAGTTCCTAACTTCTTGTGCTTTCATTTGAAGATGTATCAGCTTACACACACATAGGGCTCACCAAAAATTTCCTTTTTAAATAATCTCCTATTACTCTGGAAATGAATATATTAAACTCCAACGTAATACAACTCTAGACTTTCTAGAGCAAGAATTTTTTACCTTTGGCATTATTTTGGATTTTAGTTAATTGAAACAAATATTCAAGCGAATTTCAGTTGCAGTTAGAAGTTGTCAAAAAGTGAGAAATGTGTAAAAATTACATAAAAATTGATATTTGAATATATAAATCTAGTTTTGAGTCTTAATTGGAGTAGATACAAACAAATATATACAAAATCATATATTTTTACCTTTTCTTTTTTTTCCTCTATTCTTTATACCTGTTAAGTCGTAGCTCTTGACTCTTTGCCTACTTACTCCCCATTTCTGGTTTCCTTTGCAACAACATATGTGAAGCCCATGATAATCACTCAATACCCGTATTCATTTCCCCGTTTCTTCTCCTTTTCCTTGTCATTCTATCTTGATCCTTTCCTTGATTTTTATTAAAAAAAACTTTATTGATATGTATTTTTGTCTCCTTTGTGTTGTTTTTCTTATTGTTTTTTTTTTGGAGGGAATACTGATTCTTCTATTAGTTGTGTGTGTTTCAGGAGATTAACCATCCAGTTATCAATTAGACTCCAAGTCATTGTTATCTTAGGTTCTAAGGCTTATAAATATTATACAATTTTTCAGAAAGATTTTATTGTCTGCAGAATAAAAAGCTCAGCAGATTTTTTCCAATAAGTTCACACATAAAGAGCCTCATAAACAGTAGACTAAATATTACAGATGATCCACATAGGAGTCATAAATGAGGACACTCTAGTTTGTCCATACATTTTTCATAAGGTACTGATGTAACTGAGAATTGTCTTAATGAGTAACAGTAACAATGAAACAGCAAGGTAATTAGAGAATGAAGATAAATAGGAATAGCTGCCACCTGCTGCTACAAGCTAAGGATCATGTATCCTCCTTTCTGGACCCTTTACACAACTTATGTTCCCATCTATTTATTGAGATCAGTAATCATCATAAATTATTATAGTTTTGCTACTTGGAAGCTGTGGCTGGCACAATTCATCCTTAATTTCACTGTGACTTATTGAATAAAGCTATTTAATGTGTAATAAGCTCACAAATACAAGGTAGGTAAAATGAATTTCCTTCCTCTCATCATACTGATGAGTCACTTACCTGCTGCCTTAACTGAAAGCTTCTTTACTGAGAAGTTCTTTGCTGGTTACTGGATAATATGGCATTGGACATTATCTCATTTAAGTCACTTATTTCTTCAGTTAGATTTTTCTGAGGTAAAACTCTTTCCGTAGTTTCTGTATATACTATGACATAATCTTATTGAATGGGGATACTGCATTGACATTTCACCTGATCTTTGAACCCAGTGATCTCCAGTTTATAGCTGCCCAGAAGGCACTGGCTGGATTGCATTCATCCTTCATGGGAACAGCATAACACAGATGAGAGAGGATACTCTGCCCAATTTCAAGTTCTAACCTGGTTTAAAGTATATAACAAGGCAATTGCCTGAAAGTGAAAGGGGGTTTTAATTGAAATATACATGAACCAAAGTACATATATTATAAATTTACAAATAAATGAAAGAATCTTTCATAAGCTGAATGCCCTCATATAACCAGAGCTTAGATCAAGAAACAGAACATTACCAGCACCCCAGAACCACCTCCCGACCCCCAGTGCTCCCTGCCAGGTGCTACCCCAGGCTATCCCACTTCTAATGGCCCACATTTGTTTTTGTACTTTCTTTATCTTATTTTGTATTTTCTCTGATCTATCTGTGGGCTCATGTTTTTATACTTTCTATAAATGGAATCCTGGAGTGTGTATTCTTTTGTGGACTTCCCTTTCAACATGATATTTGTGGAATTTATACCATTTGGATGTTTGTCCCCTCCAAATCTCATGTTAAAATGTGACCCCCAATGTTGGAGGTAGGGGCCATTGGGAGGTGTTTGGGTTATGGGGGTGGAACCCTCAGGAATGGCCTGGTGTCCTCCTGGGGTAATGAGTGAGTTCTTGCTCTGTCAGTTCACATGAGAGCCAGTTATTTAAAGGAGCCTGGCATCGCCTCCCCTCTCTCTTGCTCCCTCTCTGACCTGTGACACACGTGTTCTTCGTTCACCTTCCACCATGAGTAAAAGTTTCCTGAGGTCACACCAGGATCGAATCAGATGCTAGTGCCATGCTTGTACAGCCTGCAGAATCATGAGCTAAATAAACTGCTTGTCCTTATTAATTATCCAGCCTCAGGCATTCCTTTACAGCAACACAAAATGAACTAATACAGGAATTGATCCCTATTGTTGCATATGGTTGCAAATTTTCATTCTTTTAACTCTGGTAGCACTTCATTCTATGAATATACCACAATTTATTCGATCATTTTACTGATGATGGGCACATGTGCAGATTTGTGCTACTTAGAAGAGTGCTTTTTTGGATATTCTAGTATATGTCTTTTGGTGAATATAGGTGTACATTTCTTTTGGATATATGTATATACCTTTAAGAGTGGGGTTGCTGGGCTATAGGATATGCATATGCTTAGCTTTAGTTATTACTGCCAGGCATATTTCCAAACACTGAAACCATTTACATTTCTTCCAGCAGTGTATTAGAACTCACCGATTCCATGTTTTCACCAACACTTGATATTT